AGGAATGCCATACTTCTACCTTAAGCGACTCGGCATGCAGCATTGCAGGACATTGAACTTCACTGTCAGAACGTACTGACGAGGAAGGAGCAGAACGTCACCCCTAGCTGCATGCTAGAAAGTTGCAGGGGCAATTTAGACGCGTCACGGAGGCGTTCCATGGCGTTCTGCACTCGTTGACTAATGTATAGCCCAAGGCATTGCACCTTTCCGTTATCGAGTGTTCACAGGAAAGAAAGGGCAATCCAGCAGCTGGGTCACTGCTTTTTGCAAGTTGGTCGACACACCGGTGTTGCAAGTTGCAGCTGGCCAGAAGCCCCTAGCTAGTAGTAGAGGAGCAACCAGCCTTCTCTTTGGAAAAGTGTCAGATGGTACAACAGGGAGTCCCTCGCAGTCAGCAGAACGAATGTAAGTATGTCAGTCTTCAATGTTGCCTTCTGAGCGACTTCGTCTTGCCTAGCCATATGAAAGGGATGTGAGAAGCTCTCTTGCCTCAGGCCACTCCTTGCCTATCATATTGATCAAGATATCACTTGTGGAGGAAAGGATTTGCAACCTGAACACTAAAGCACGTTGACTTGAGATCTTAGGGCAGTGTAAGCTTGAGCAGCTTGATGTCACAGTGGTGGAAAAAGCTCAATCCTTGTAACCGATGTTAGAAGAGTACGCAATGCTGCCCTGCCCTTATGTCCCAGCGATGTCTGTTTGCAGCTTGAGGAAGTGGAGCTGCAACTGGCAAGATTCAAAATCTGGATTGGAGATCGGAAATTGAACTTGCGGCCGCCAAGCGGACAAGTGCATTGGAAGGAGATAACTTGGAGGAAGAATATCACTTGGAGGCCTTGAAGGCTGAAACGTTGGCACTCCGGAAGTTCCTTTCAGAGGCAGGTCTGTTTAGGCGTATCTAACATCCAGGCTGGTATTAGAGCTCTGTAGGAGACTGACTAATCTAAAGAAGACCAAGGTCAAGAGCCGTTGGCTCTGGAATGGAATGCGACTTTGCCTACACTGTTCGCTCTATTCTGCCCAACTTTTGGGCGCTTTGAATGTTGCACCAGATGTCCACTTTGAGATCCATGGGTTCGAATCAAACGGGTAGGTGCTTCTAGCAACTTCCGAGGAATGCTACCAGCGGCGCGCATTGGAAATGGCAGGAACTGTCAGTTTACTGCAGGAGTGTTAGGTTTCGCAACAATTCTGTGATGTGGTTGTGCTACGGTGCTGACACGTTGTAGTGGTGCTTGGAGAGATTTTTGTCCATGCGGTGTCCCCAATCACTGCTAGCGGCTGGCTAAGCCACCCGCTTTTTTCAGGGGGTGTAGGCTGGAGCGGTATACAACGTGGTGTTGAAAGCGATCGAACAGACAATCTTGTTTCTTGTCCTGTTTGTATCTTTTAACAAAGGCCCTAGCTAGTAGTGTGTGTTACATGCTGCTGATTTCCAGCGGTCCCTAAAGCCCTCTTCATACGCCGTTGCTTTGCAGAGCGGGTAAACTCGATAAGCAACGCCAAGGAGCTGTATGACCAGATCGTGGGGGAAGGAGCTGGTTCGAGCGGCCCGGGCCTCAAGGACGAGACTTTATTGCTGAAGGACGAAGAATCTGACCAGTAAGCAACGTTCTCCGACTGTGTCTTCATGTTTACCCAGATTGCCCATGAACTCAATTTTGCGAGGGTGTCAAGACCACTACACACTGTTTACTGTGGTGATACTCCAAGGGTGACAGACGACACTTCTGAGGGTTTCGAACGATCTGGCCACTTGATCGTCACATTCAGGATGTGTCCAACTGATACTGATGCAAAGTCGGCAGCTTGCTAAAGCTTGAGGGACGTTAAACTCTAGATGCCAGCAGGAGAATCTGCACTTCACAGAAAGGCGCGCACTGATCAGATTGTCTTGCAAGTCAAAGATTACTTTCGTCTTTCCGGTTGCTTTTTCAGAAGGAGTGAGCCCGAGAAGTTCGTACCTCGATCAGCTGCTCTTCACTGCTTCTGTGCAGTTGCCGGAGTGGCATGAGGCGCCGGTGCAAGGCTGTGGCACCCGACTACTAGCAGCCCCTGCGTTCAAGATGCGGTCGTTCTTGGTGAGTTTTTCGTACATGAGCAGGATACACCCTAAAATCCGGACTTCATTGAAGTCGTGGAGGCTATGTCTGAGGATTTTTGTTGATCGATTGCGAGGCGCTCTGTTAAGAACGACACGGTGCTAATTCGACTCAGCTCTCGCTCATTTTTGAATTCCAACCTTCTTGAACGAGCTGCCCATAAGGCGAACCGGTGGAAAAGCAGCGGCACCTACTGTACGTAGGTGGGTCTAGATCCCGACAATGATGCTTCGATGACAGTGACACTACTTCGGATGCAGGAAACAGCAAAGTGTCTAACCGTGTCCCGTTTCTTGCTATTGTGTCTCCGCACTTTCATCTGTCCAGAGGCCAACTCAAGAGTGCACAATCCAAGCATCCACTCTTGAGACAACAAGAACTCGAGGCTGAGCTTCCCGGCACTAACATGTTCCCTCTCCTTCCTCCGTCCTTCCCATTCCCTCACGCTCACGCTCCGCGAATGCAGAGGCAGCCAGACTTTTATAGTTAGAACGATGATTTTCGTCTATTGTCAATGCGGGCGTCCGGCCAGTCGTTACTGAATCGAGCCGCCCCTTTGTGCCAGCTGCTGCGGCCAAGGCTGGGGGGAGGCTTTGCGCCCCGCGCTGCAAAGGCTGTACGTGGAGCCGCGCCACGAGGTATCCGGATGCGCCGCAGCGCTTCGTTGGGGGTATCGGGAGGGGATGAAAGAGGCCATGAAAGGGCGGCAATAGAGAACACGGTGTGTCAAGCGGAAGCGGGCCGAGGGGGGCGGGAGGATCAGGCGGGGAAGAAGGGGCGAAGGGGGTGGGTGGTGGGCAGACGAGCGGGAATGATGACGGGATTCGGTGTCAGGCAAAAAAGAGACGCGGAAGGGCGATGACAGAGGGACGGCCGAAAAGATAGTCCGATGGGGGAGGAGCAGAGCCCATGTGGTGTTCTGAGGGTGCTCGTGTGTGCAGTGCGGAATTTTGGGCAAAAGGGAGCCGATCGGAATGAGTTCATGCGCTTTGAAAACGGCTGCATAATTACCGCCTTCGACCCGCACTGGTTGCACGTACTTCAGCGACTCCCGTTGTGACCTGCGTGCTGTCATTTCAGCTGCAATAGATGGCGCTGAGGACCAAGAGCAGATGACATTCGAAGGGCCAAAAATAGAGGGGAACACGGCAGTTTCGCGAATCGTGCTGCCAAAAGTAGCACCAAGGTAGACTTACATTTAAAAGCAACATACTAGCTCCGTTTGACGTGCAAGCGCACGGCTAATGACAGCAACGACGAGCCGGACAAGAAAAGCCGTGGACGTGCATAGTTGCGGCGTCAGATCTGAATCCTTAATGATAACAGTAATCGGAACTGAGACTTCGCATGCAATGATCCATCTGACAACTAACTTCTAAACATGGAATTGCCCGTCAGCAAAACAGCAATGCAGAATCCCGGTATGAATAGCTTAGTCCGACCACTGCATGCGCGTACTTGTTACAGGCTTTGCTCTATGAAAGGTACAGCATTCATTTGAGCGACGCAGGGGAAGAATTAGTCATCGAAGGCCCGGAAAAAACTGACCGCGCATGAAGAGAACATATATGAGTCTTCTAATGATCGTGCGTGTTTCCGAAGTTCATAAAAGCCCCCCAGCCTCCACTTCATGCAGTGATTGTGCCTGGCCGCCATGTGTTAGTAAGTTCGACTCCCGTCTAACACTAACAGACTTGTGCAACGCGTTTGCCATGATCATGATCCATTCGTGCGCGCATGCAATACCATGGAATTAACGCGGTAGGACATTCGATCCTCAGATTGTGATTGAAACATTCAAACACTGTCATGCATAATTACAATTGCGACGTTTTTCTAAGGGTGTGCATGTCCTTATTTAACTTACAGTCCCTAATTACATACAGAGTTTGAAGCGAGCTGACTGCTCGGGACACAATGTTTCAAGCCGGAAGGACTGAGTTTAACTACGTACTTTGACAATTGACAACCGTCTTCACTTGACACACTACTTCACAGGTACTTTGCTCTCGCATTAAGTGCTCATGTTTCATGAGCTTACGTTTATAGGTGAACCACCTGTACTCACGAAATCTAATATGCCGTCTTGGCAGTCCCCAAGACCAAAGAGCCAAGAAAATCGCCGACATCTATAAGAAAAAGCACTGGTTTGGTTGACATTTTCGGGCTACGTAAGTTTCCCGTCTGGGGCGTTCCTTACGAGTGTTGGCGCTTATTTCCACCTGTAACAATCACCTCCCCTCGGTCATGGTCATGGGGATTACCATCGAGACGTCGGTGTTCGTGCCAAAAACAGTGGAAGGCTGCGCGGCTGGTGGTACTGGCGGAGTGGGTCCGACGCCCTCCAGCATGCGTAGGACTTGACCCATGGAAGGCCTTGCCTCCGGGAGGTCGTTGATGCACGCGATTGCGCAGTCAAACACCCTCAGTACCTGCAAAAGAGAATGGCGCAGTCAACCAGTCGCCGAGGGCTTCTATGAGAGGTTTATCACCAGACGTAGTACATACTTGTGTGCGGCAACAGCGGGGCTTTTGCGATTCGAGCGCTTCATCAGACCTGGGCATGGAAGGGCCGGCTGCCGTCACGTTTGAGTTAACCCTGCTTTCATCGCAGCATATAACTTAGATGGCATGTTTACAAGGCGTATCTCCGGGGCCGTTGTATTCGTCAGCACCGGTCACCCATTGACAGCGGTTTCCGCTCGGAACACACAAATTGAGCAAGCGACAGCAAAGCAGGCAATGCGCGTCGTGCAGTCGCTATGTGACGTATTGCAAATGCGTCCGCGACCCCTTTGTCAATCTCGGCCCGGAATCTCCAACAGTACAGGGCAATCAGAACCAGATCTGAGAGCGCTTCATGGAGGCCTTACCTCATCAACGGAGTACGCTTTGCCGAGCTTTTCATCCAAGATGAAACGCTCCGTGCGGGTCTGCTTCAACTGCCGAGCCTGCAAGCGACGACTCGTTTTTGTGTATCTGGGCATCACGTCTCCCGCCCCTGAAAACTGTATGCTATATGTGTCTCATTCTCCGGACCTGGGAGTTTTGCCAATCCGCAGATTTTAGATTCTAGAAATACAATTGTGTACTCGAATACCCGCGTATAACCTCAACGGCGTGAGCCTTAGCACTATCACCCATCTCTCCTGTTCAAGCCTCCGTGCGAGAAGAAACCAATCCTTCTGGTCCTTTCGGAGCACGACTCACCGTTCAAACAAAGGTTACGGCGTGCTAGAACGACCCAGAACTCTCAAAAGCTCGATAGAAGAGGCACTTCGAAAGAGGGTTAACCAGGCGAAGCGCACAATTCTGAGATGGCCGAAACGCTGTCACAGCCGTCAGATCTTCACCTAATGAAGCCAGTCTGAAAGTGCATTTGGGCGTTAGGTGTTAGCGACCAGGACCAGACTCGTAAGCTTGACCCCCGCTCTTGGGCTGGAAAGAGCAGATCGGAGCCGTCAATCTGTCGACGTTGACAAGATGGACGATAGTGACAGCCTCGCCGCTTGTCCCTCAGCCATTTGGAAATTGTGCGTTCCGCCTGTAACGTGTCATCTAATGAAGTGCGAACCCAGCCGGCATGCGCCCAGACGATGAGCGCCATCCGCCTCCTGGGCTGCCCCGAGTTTACATCCTCACTCAGATTCAAGCCAAGGATATCTAGCCGATCAGATGAAGCCAGATTCCCACTTTCATGACCAGGACCCACGCAGCACCCCACTGACAAAAGTCCAGCACACGGCGCCGACTGGTACGTACCCAGAGGAGGAGCGCCACCCGCTGCCTGGGCTGCCCGGATTTACGTTGTCACCCCATCTCAACCGGGGACTTTATCTGATCAGGGAAGACCCTGACCCTCCCTCTCTCACGACCAAAGCCCACGCAGCAATCAAGTAAACAAAGTAAATACACGCCGACCAGTACGTACTCAAACGAGGAACTTCACCCGCTCTCTGGGCTGCCCCGGGTTCACGTCTCGATCTGAACCCAAAGAATCTAGCAATCACTTGAAGCCAGATCCTAAATCTCCACCAGAAACCACAATAGCACCTCCAGAACATCTAACTTGAAAGCCCAGAATACGCCGCTCGTACGTACCCAGACAATGAGCGCCACCCGCTCCCTGGGCTGCCCCGGGTCCACGGGGGGCCGCCCCGCAAGCAGCTCCAGCAGCACGACGCCGAAGCTGTAGACGTCCGACTTGTCCGTGTTCTTCTCCCCATACATGGTGCACTCGGGGGGGAGGTACTGGAACGTGCCCACCGTGCGCGTCGCGGTCGCGGTCGACTGGAACTCGCGCGCAAAGCGCGCGAAGCCGAAGTCGGAGATCTGCATAGTCCGTTTACCCTTGGTTAGTCACGAATCAGGTACTTCATCTGGACGGGGTTCCGAACGGGAAAAGGGTTTATCGGACACGTGCAAGAAAGCCCGAGGAAGCAAATCAGGGGGTACCAGCGGTCAGTGTAATCCGACGCAGACCAAGCCAGAATGCTTCAGACGGCATCGTGCAGCACTCCTATACAGCTCGTGAGAGAAAGTGCGAGATCGTAGACCAAAGTCAGCACAGAGCAAAAGTCAAAAGCACACGCAGAGGTTGGAGGCTACCTTTAATCCATGAAGGTGGACTTCAAATACTGCCACTCAAAGGAAAAAACAAGGCCCTCATTAGGGCAGTCTAGATTGATTTCATGATCAGATCACAACACACGCCGACGGTAATTTGATTGTACGTGCTTGCGTTGCATAGTGCAGCATCAATAGAATGGGCAGTGCGCCCTTGATTCCAGGTTTACAGGAGAAAACGCAGTGTCTTTGGAAACCCCTTTAAGTGAAGAGCAATCCTGACGTCTCACCTTTGCCCCTAGATTGCTGTCCAGGAGGATGTTACTTGCTTTGATGTCCCTGCAAAGGGAAGAGAGAGCGCCCGTTGACGTGGCGTCTAATCAAATCCTGTCCTAAACCAAGGCTGGAATTCGCGGAGACTCCGTCCACGGGAATCGACAATCCAAGCCAAGCGGAAATAGATTTTAGCAAGCTTGCAAGTCCGTCGACTCCAAGTGTCTTGAGACAAATTAAAAAGCGCATTTTGAACACCATTCGCAGCTTTCGACAGGAATATCCGTACGAACAGATGCATAGACTAGCTACGAAACGATTTGCTAAGGCAGTCCTGATGACATTCGGCGAGGGAGATCGAAGCTTAAATTCACCTGTGAACGATCCGTGGCTGGCAGTCTTCGTGCAAGTACGCCAGCCCCTTCGCAGCTCCGATGGCAATGATCAATCGCTGAGGCCAACTTATGACGGAAGCCGCTCGAATACCTGCGCAGTGGTTGCTATGCCAAGTCAGGTCGGCCTTGCACGGAAGATCGTGGGGCGCGGGTCCAACCCTCAAAAACAGGTACCTCGACTTTCTATCTAGCTCAAAAAGGTGTGCCATGATGCAATTTATGCGGATTGGCCATACGAACGATCTTAAGCAAGTTTGGAGGACCCGCTTCTTTACCCGCCTATCGGCGGAACGGTCCGATTCAAATATTCAGCACCCTTCTCGTCACGGGCTTTCGTGCATCATATGTTGTCTTGAGTGTCCTGAAGACTTCCGTACTCCCCCAAAATGAGACACAGACATGTGCTTGCGCTCAGGAAGCGCCGTTTGACGGAAAGACTTAAACCCTGGCGCTACGCCACGGGTATGTACATAGTCACATATTTTCATGACACCGCTTTCTCCGCCGCGGCGATCAGGGCCTTCGAGTCCCTCACCGTACAAGTTGTCAGCCAGGCTCCCGTTCTTCATATACTCTAGCACCAAGATCCGCTCCTGGGCGTTGGTACAGAAACCGACCAGTTGGACCAAGTGCCTATGATGCACACGGGCGATTATGGACGCCTCTGCCTGGAAGTCCCGCTCGCCGGCGGCCGTCTCTTGGCCGCCGGTGAGAGAGTGGAAGTGCAGCCTTTTGACGGCAACCGTGCGGCCGTCCGATAGGATGCCCCGGTAGACGTTTGAGAACCCGCCTTGACCTAAGCGAAGGAAGTTGATAAGATCTGGAACGGGTGTTCTTGGCAGACGTGTTGGAGTGTGTGGCGGACTGTCTTGAGAAGTCTTCAAAACATACCGTTGAAAGCTGCCGAGTCTTTTTTAAGGCTTAGCAGCGTTCGACTGTTCTATATAGCGAGTCAGCAAACTGGCGGTCGAGGCAAGTCAAAAGCGCGGCCCAATATTGTGTAGGGAGGACCCAATTTGGTGTCCTGATGCATGGAAACTTGTCCTAGGGCTCTAGGTGAACTGTGGTTGATCAAATCTGGGGGGTTACAGATTGCGAATGTCCTGGAGACCTTCTATATATCCCTTGACCAGATGCTCGGAAGGCAATCTGAATGGCAGTACATGTATAACAGCGGGCTTGTTTGTAACGAGACGTATCCTGTGTCTTTCCGTGCTAACGAAAAGAGGGGGAGTTATTGTGGTCTCATACCCCGTGTGACACATCAACAGTCTTGCTTCGTGTTAGTGATTTTCGAAAGGACTGATATGAACGGGGCAGCGATGCACCTTCAAATTCAGACGAGAGAGCTTGAAAGCTTTACAAAGGTGAGAAGCTGAGGACAACACGGTAAAGGCGGGCTGTTCAGACAGTGTCAAACTTTTAAGTTGATGTCCAACAGCTTACCCAGAAAGTTCTTCGTCGAGAAATTCTCAGTTGACTGCACCACCTCCGCAATACTCAACACCATAACCCCATACGGGGCGGGAGTTGGGGCAGGGGGCGCGCTGGCCGTGCCTTGCGTCCCCCCAGATGCAAACGACGTACTGTTACGTCCACTACTAAAGTGCGAGCCACTTCTTTGTTGCCCCACGCCAGACTGAGAGTTGGTCATCTCCGGCCAGGCAAAAGCATCCCCGCTGGGGGGCGCGCTTGTCTGCTTGGGCCGCTTTTGTTTCTGTTGCGGAGGGGGCTCCCGAGTGTCGTCACCATAAAGGTCCTTGATGCTCCCGTCCTTGTCATGGTTTGCACGCCCTGCCAAGAATCGTCTCATAAAATGACGTCAGCATGGCCAGCGTTGCAAAGTATGCTGGTATTTCCAGGGATTTCTCAATGATACATACCATGTTAATACAACCCAGAAGTGATGCACTTGGGCAAAAGAGCTGATTTGTTCGTGCTTCCTCTCTATCGTCCAAGCGGTGTGACGTTGTGACCGACTCATCCTTAGGGCAAAACAGAAAACCGTTGGACTGTGATCAAGAGTCAATTCTTAAGAGTGTGGAAAGAGACCTCCCCAATGCAATAGTGCCAAACAAGATGAAGGCCCACTCATGCAAGTGACAATTACCTTTCGTCCACTTTAGGTGTCCACTGCTCGAAAATCTTCCAACAACCTTCCTCAAAATTTTCAACGCAATTCAATGAGATCGCTTTTGTTGATGAGAGGCCGACTCCAAAGTTAAGATCTCAGAGAAATCAGCATGACTCTTTCAAGGGTTGTCATCAATCATTGACCAACTAGAGCAGGTTAGCACCATTCTCGACCGACCTGGATTGAGGCACATTATAAAAGGGGGAAGAAGAGAGCACAAAAAGCTTCTTCTTACGGGAAAAAATGAGAAGAACAGTTCGAAGCATACCTGATTCTTCGTCTGTACCGGGATTGTTCTTCATGCTTAAACGATCCTGACTAACATTATCTGCGGTTCGCTTGAGGGTAACGTGTAGGTAGGCATGTATGCCAAATAGCAGCAGACCAGCCATGAGCAATGCTATGCCCCCCGCAACTCCAACTCCGGGTTTCCAACTCCAACTCCGGCTGTTATACACACAGACGTACTCCCTTTCGTACATGTATATTAATAGTCTGCAGATTTTGTGGCCAATCCCGCAAGCACAATGCTTGCAACCCAGAAGAGGAGCACCCTACAGATCAAGCAACCAGTTTTCAGCATCAAAGCCTAAAGGTGGCCTCAAATGCAAAAATAAAGATTCAAAACCAGAAACAACTACCGGCAGCTAGGAGGCCCGTACAGACTCGGCTCCTCACATTGTTCCTAATGTGATTGAGCAAACAGGCTTTGAGACGAATTTGTCTACAGACAAGCTGTAGAAATATTGAATGACGAGTTCAGGGATAGGTTGCTGATGGGCCTCCCTTGACAGCAATATTTGGCACACATTCAGCTGTTTGAAACTGATTATGCAATCCATGAACAAGGGAATGAATCTCCAAACAGAATCTTGAACATCGTTCTCTTCGACCGTGACCCGTAGTTTTGAGTTGACTCTGCTCCATTCACACAATAAGCAGTCCAAGCAACCTTTGCATCTGATGAAGCAGAAAGCATCAGCTCAACATGTCATTGTGCCTGTGACTCTTGATCCCAGAGAGTCTACAAACAGAGTCCCGTATTCCAGAGTGCCTGTTTCTCTGAGTACAAACCAGATGTCTGAAGGCTAATTGGATTATGGTTTTTGAACGCTTGAAGATCGTGGAAAAAGCTTGAAGCATTCACTTACACACAGGCCAGTACAAGGCCTCCAACTCTCCAACTTCCTTTGAGATGACGCCGTATGCTGATGGAAGCCACCGCAAGAGGCCCCAGACCCAAGGCCAAACTTATGCAGGCCACACTAAGTGCCACAAGTGCTAAAGCACGCTCCAGCTCGCACTCAGATTTGTCAGGGTCAGATCCATTGCTGTAGACGCCAGGGAGTTTTGATTCTCGGGCAGCGCTGCAGGCAAATCCCACAACACCGAGGGCCAGTATTACTGCAAATAGCAACCCCTTCAGGACCAACCGAATGGCAAAAGGTGACTCCCTTCCCACTGCCATCGTTGTCAGTATCTATACTGCTTGACCAGCAATAATGCGGAGAAAAGGCCCAACACGGGCACACAAGTGTCTCCTTGAAGGGCGGTTAGATGTGTAGACGTAAGCGCACTTCAAATGCACCAGCCAGAGTATGTTGCGAGTCACTAGCCGCCACCTTTCGCGTTTGCTTCATCTCCAACAAAACAGCTGCTCAAAGCGATGCCTCAGAATCCGTGTTGGTGAGCCCAAGAGTCCCCCAGGAAGCGGGCATTCGCCATGATGGCGGGCGTTCGGGCCAGAGGAATAGCCGTATCAAATCCTAGAGGATTGGTCGAGGACCCGTTGAGAAGATAGGATTTCAGGAATGTTGTTGTTGCCACAAGCGCATCTAGTTCTGCAACCTGCAAGGCCCCTTCATCGTCCAAAGAAAATTGCAGCCGGCAGCAGTGCTCCTGGCGCAGTCACTGCGGCACCCACGCTCTGAAGCGACGCAGGGGGAGTCCTTTCGATGCTGACAGGCCGGCCCGGCTCTTTCCGATTTCGTGGTCCGCACAAATCGGGAGCCGGATTCGTACCGGTAACCTCATTGCCAGATGGCAGGTGCTCAGCGACTAAAGGATGTGTCCGTACAATAATCGTGCGGAGTCCGTTGCACTTCATTCATTGGAAGAGTGCCTATGGCGTCATATGTATCACAACCGAACCGGTGCCACTGCCGAGTAGGATACCCGGCGTATGAGGCCTACCTCGTTGACCTCGTCTCTTTGCGAGGTAAAGCACCAATTCTCGGACACCTAAGCGCGGTCAAGGAAATCAAAGGTCAAAAGATGGCCATTTTTGTGCTTGACAAAATGTCGGAATCTACATGATCGTACTAAGCGCTACTTGCCACTCAATACCTGCATGGTCAAAAACGACGAATAAAGTTTTGACCCAGTTATCTCGTCAAACGAGCTAGCACGAAAACGGACGAATTCCATTTCTCGGACACCCTTTTTCGACTCTCGTACATCTAGGCTCAATAACAATCTTTTTGGCCGTCAGATGGCCATGTAGAAAGTGTAAAACGGAGGCTTCAGATGTGCTCCTGGCATGATCCCAAGCCTTCTGGCTAAACAAATACTTCACTTCTCGAAACATGCACACACTGATATTTCACGAGGCTATACTATAGGGTATTTGTCAGCGGAATCCTAGATATTGGCAGTATAAGATGGGGCAATGTAAGTGTTGGCAAGGACTTCTGTCAACAACCATGCACCAGGATATTCCAACAAAAAACCTTTTCATAACTGTCCCGCCGGCTAATCACAGGGTTCCACGGGGTCCAGTGTACCCCCCGAAACACTGTACTAAGAGTGAGAAAATTGAGGCCTTGGAGAACCGCTGAAGGTCCTCTATAGGCAAAGCATTGAATCCGTTGACAATGAACATGTAACGGCCGAACTACACTGAAACTGCCACAGACCCCCCTGTCCGAGATTTGGAATGAGCATGTCTGACTTTCGAGAAAGGGGGTGTCCGACAAAAGGAAGCGTCCGACTTCAGAGCACTTTACCTTACCACCGTAATCACGGGCTCAGTGCCAGCTAGCTGAGTTCCGGTCACTCCCAGGCAATCATCTGGACGATTCGAATACGATGACTGACACCGCGTGCATGCCATTTGTCACACGGCTCAAGCAAAAATGGAGTACTAATGAGGTCGCCATTGAAGGCCTAGAATGCACGAAGCTCTAAAACGAGCAGGTTGTGGAACACTTGTCTAATTGTGACACTACGAGCAAGTTACATATGTGTCAACCACCGGACGTCAGAGTTCACTGAGTTTTGATCCACTCAACTCAAATCGCCGTTCGCTTCACGTGCATCGAACATATATATGCAACCAGAGCCAGCAGCTTGGATTTTTTGATTGCACACCACACAACGTACGTGTGGAGAAATGCTCAAAAGCATGTACAGGGGCCGGAAGCCAGCCCCTCAGCTCGGCGCCTAAAGTCAAGCAAGGGCCACAGCGTCAGAAAGAAACGCAATCTCCGGTATACCAGTCACCACCGTTCTACCGCAAACTTCACTTTCCTTATTCTCAGGCAGCGACTGCCTCCAATGGTTTCTCCGCCCCCCGCTTCTCGATGACCGGTTCGCACCGCTCGCACAGCGTTGGGTGCGCCTCGCTGCTCCCAACGAGCGTCGAGTAGTTCCAACACCGCTCGCATTTCCCACCGTCCGCCCGCACAACGCCCACCAACAGTTCGCCCACCCCTTCGATGTCTGCCGTGTTTCGGTGCTCCGGGTTGAGGGCTTCGAAGGCCTCCCGGGAGTCTAACACTTCGACCTGCGTGACGTGGTTACACCTAGGTAAGGTTGCTTCGTGGGTTCGGGCTTCAGTCAAATCCCTATTCCACCAGATCCATGTTCTGCTTCAGTGACAGCTCTGATATAATAATGGGCTGAGGATATCACGAGCATCTGCCCGCTAACCACGTAAGCCTGACTGGGTTGCAAATTGGCGATCACAAGACAGCGGGCGAAACAGCATTTGTAAGAAGAAGGGCATTTGCCGTCCGCGGTTTCCCTCCACGTGATGAAACTGCCGTTCCTATGCAGAATCTCAAGCGCCTGAGACGAATTGTGTTTGGAAGGCGTTCGCGCCTAGTGGCTCGCTTTGATTTTTAAATATCATGCGAGCGAACCGCCGGAGCCATTGGCAGACGGAGTTCGCTCCACAAACCTCTAGTTTTCTTCGTAACGGAACGCAAGCTACCAAGAGGTTGCAGCCTGCGCTGTTCCAATTATCTTGAGCAAGACAATCACGGTGCCTCGGCCCTACGCCGCCTGCTTACGTCACCCGCTCTGCGTCTATATACTGCCCAGCAAACGGCAGGACAAGGGCCCGAGCAACATACACGACGTCTCAACAAGACCAAGAATACGTACAACCCACATGAGCCAGAACGGACGCTTGTCCGTAAACCTCAACAGATCGACGTTCCGCTTTAAGACGCAAGTGCGCGTTCCCTTACCTGTGACGTTATGAACATGTACCGCAGCTGGTCCACTGGGTGCGCCCCGTCGGCCATTCCCCGCAGCTTCTCGGCGACCGCCGGGTCTGTCGCGCAGAGTATGGCCTTCGCCTCGAGGGACGCCCCGATCAGCTTCGCATTCCGAGCGGCTTCGATGACCTTGTTGACCTCGTTCCGGATCTGCGGAATGGACGGGAAGAGTGAGGGCGGATTGCATCATCCCGTGGATTGCTGATTAGCGTTGTAAAAGAGTAGAAGAACAAGGACTCGTTTCGTTTTGGGCTCCACCAATAGTCAGGACATGGCCCGTGCTCAATCTTGAAGTCCCTGTGAACATGTGAACATCAAGTGTGAACATCAAGTGTAGCACCTCGAGCAAAAGGAAATTTCGCAGCCCACTGAAACTCCTTGAAACCCTCTTTCGGTGCTCATCCAAGAATGGCGTTTCACGGCTTTGCTAAAATGAACCAATCCAAACTTCTGTGCTGCGGCAACTGCACTGGATCCGCTTTCGACTCATGCGGCACAATTACCCACCACACAGATTCTTCTCTTACTTTTCTGCAAAGTCTTACCAGCAGCAGCTTAGCCCAGAACGCACTGTCCTCCTCCGAGAACGTCCGCCACTCCTCCTCGACCTCCGGCCAGCCCGCCTCGAACACCGTCTCTGCTACGCCGCCACGTGTCTCGATCTTATGGGGCAGGTTCTGCCACGCGTCCTCGGCCATGTGGGGCAGCACCGGGGCGATTGCGCGAACTAGACAGAGGAGGGTCGACGAGAGGACGGTCTGGGCGGCGCGGCGGGAGAAACCGTCGGGGGAGTCGATGTAGAGTCGGTCCCTGGAAGAACAAGTTTCAGATATAGGATTGCAATCGTCAAAGTCGTTTGTAAGAAGTTACCAAGGACCGCACGCGACGAAATGAGAAATAGTCCAGGGGACTAGGGCATGAAGTCATCATCGCAGAAGAGTACGCTCACTTGCGGAGCTTTGAGCAGGGAGTAAAAGAAAGTACAAGCCGCCCGACTTCGTCGACTGTCGTGGAACACCGTCCTGACGACATTGTTGTAGTAAAGAAAGTTTGAAGTTGAAGTTGGAAGAAGGACAGGATTTGATTTTATCCAAAAGATGCGGAAGTCACTGAAGAGGGCACCGTCAGGTCAAAGCGCGCTCACTTGCAGATGTCGAAGTATAAGTTAAAGAGGTGTTACAGAGAGCACTCGCAACAATATGTAGAACTAAGTTTGTATGAGACCAAAAGACGGGATTGTCAGAAAGAGGCGCTCACTTGCAGATGTCGAAGTAGAAGTTGGAGAGGTCGACGACCATGAACCGCTGCACGAGTTGGTAGAAGCGGTAGAACTGGTACTTCTCGTAGCTCTCGCGCACCTCGCCCATCACGCCCGCCAGCTTGGCCAGCGTGTAGCGGTCCACCGCGGGGAGGGACGAGTACGGCAAAACATCTTTGGTCGGCTGCACGGGGATTCAGGTTTAGGGTCAGGTTATGGTTCGTGGTTATAGTACGGAGAGGTTATAATTAAGGTTACGGCAAAGGTCAGGACACCGTGTACCGGTCCACCGCGAGGAGAGACGAGTACGGAAGCGCATCTATGCTTGACTGCGCATGAGATCAAGGGTAAAACTTAAGGCAAGGCTGATGCTGATTAACATGCTGACCAATCTGGATGTCGATCAGGGTTTTGGTTACGAATCCAATAGGGATATGAGGGCGGCGCCGAGAATGACAGCCCTTTTCAGCCGCCTGCGCGTTGTCTGGTGCCTCTCTTCCTGGTGTCTTGTAACCGTATTCGCAAGGTAATTCTGTTTAGTTCAACAGGTCCAGGACTAGTGGCTACCGAACTGTGCAATGCAAGTCTCACGAGAACGGGTCGAGACCCGATGGACCCCAAAGCCCCGAACCGCTTCCCCAGAAATCGGCTTAAAGCTTTCACCGGAATCCGAAAAAAACGGTATCGCACATATTACCGACGTTTGTCTTTGAATGGCCCTCTAGACAGATATGAATTCGCTTTCCTCCAGGTGCTGATGCCGTCGACCAAACATCAGCAGAGCGAGATGCTCGATTCAAGCATACGTTGTCTCAAAGGCTGCTACGACCCTGAAGCTCACAAAGCGGACATGAGAGAAAGCACCCGACCACAACTCACGTCGAAGTCGAAGAGGTTCCCGAGCAGGTAGCGCAGGGTGCCCCGGAACTTGCGGTAGGTGTCCGACATTTGCCGGACGATCCCCGGGCCAATCAGCACATCTCCCGTGTAGTCGACGCTCGACACCCACAGCTGCAGAGTGTAAACAGCGAGACTATGTAAGCAGGGACGACGTCAACGGCAGAGAGATAACTTGCTTGCTTTGTGTGTCACGGTTTCACGCAGAACTAAAGGCGTAGTAAAACGGCGCTCGACGTCCACGGCTAAAAGCCCACGTAAGGCTGGCTTGGGGTCAGAATTAGACAAGCGGGCTCCCTTTCTTACTATCGTTTCACTTTTTCCTTTCCCCTGTTCTCTTACTCTAGTGAAGATACACGAGGAACTGTTTGCTTGTTATAAAGAACGCGGATGCGCCGTCGGCGGCTCTTCCGCAGAGGGATACTCAAGGAACTATTGTGAAATGCACAGAAAGCACGCTAAGTCGTAAGCAACTCTACATCATCCCCGGAGACAAATCATCTGGTTCTTGAGATGCGATCGCTAGCAGGTATATCCGAACAGCTGCCGGGACGGATGACTATATAAGACAGAAAGACTCACTCTAAGGACGTCCGCTCCGTAAGCCGGCTCCGTCTTCTGGTTCTTTCCACCATTGATCACTAGCCGTGGGTCGATCACATTTCCCAGACTCTTGCTCATCTTGAGGCCCCGCTCGTCGAGCACGAACCCGTGCGTCAACACCTGCAGAACCAAGGCGAACAATCACTGAGTCTACTTTTTGCAAAAAGAATGCGGTCTTCTTTGAGCTCAGCGATTCCTGCTTTTGAACGCGGAGCATCAGCAACAACGACTCATAACCTTTTTTTTGCTCCACCCTTTCGGAGTTGAAAACTTGGGAGGGATTAGGCAGGCAGGATCCAAGAGTTCGAAAGCGATCGGAAGCCGTAACGACGGAAAGGGTACACAACGTCGGTTCGCAGATTGATCGCAGCCTCCGCATACTTCACTGGCCAGATAAATAAGACATAAGCTACACGAGTATGCAAGCTTTAACCGTCAACATTCAAGCGGTAAGATGAGGCTCGTTCACGCCAGCACTCATAGGCCAAGCGGGTTGGATGGTGAAGCAAAGAGGCGTATGGTCGATTGCTAACCTTCTATACGGTCGCCTAGCGTGCGCTAGGCCACGCTAGTAAACCGGCTGGCCTAAGAAGCAATCCAAAAAGTGCCCAAAGGAGATCCGCGCTCATGTACACTCACCGACTTATACGGCGCCTGCAGCGTTTTGCAGGCTGTCCCACAGAACAGGCGAGGAAGCTGGAGCGCTTATGAGAGGCTCACCGACTTATATGGCCCCTGCCACGTGCTGGCCACGCTAATGAGCAGAACACAACAAGAAACGCTCAGAGAATATTCGCGGGAAGAAGAAATGAAAGTCGGAATATACTGAAGCTCACCGACTTGTACGGCGCCTGCCCCGTGCTGGCCACGCTGGTGAGCGGACTGAATTGAGAAGAAACTGAGGAACTACCCGGAAGAGGGGAGCGCTTATATGGAAGCTTACCGACTTATACGGCGCCTGCCCCGTGCTGGCTACGCTGGTGAGCAGGCTGGACTGGAACCATCCCCGGTGCTGGTCGCTCCCCTCGAGAACTAGATCGGACGGAAGTCGCAGGCCGTCGCGACTGTCCACGACGCCCGACCAAGACGAGCCTGCAAAAGAAATCCGGCAGTAAGTGTCGCTCTGCTCCTTAGCAGAAACAACTTCTCTCGCAAACCAGTAGAAACGTCGAGAAAGGCCCTCAAACCCTGTGATAAATTGCCAGAACTCGTTAATGAGTTTTGCAGAGTACGTTGTGCCTGCTTCAGTTTTAAAAGAGGAAGTATTTTTGGCAGAGTGTCGGCGGCTAAAACTCGAGGCCTCAAAGCGGGAACTTAGTAATGGCAACAGATTACCAATCGTGCACAAGCGTTGTTGTTCGAGTGAGGGCGTGAGGGCCGAACGATAAGTGCGAGTCAAGCATTGCTCCACCTGGTCCAAGCAAAAGAGCGTGTCATCCAGAATCGAGAGGATTGCACTTGTGCTGTTAAGCAACAACTTACATGCGGCAAAAATCGTTAAACATCAATCAAGTCATAGTGGCTCACAGTCTCGATACATCGAAACATGCGAGTAGGAGTCTCTTCATTTGAAGAGGACAAATCGATTCCGCTGGCTGCACTCACCGGAATCGAACCAGACGTCCATAGTGTCCGTGCCCTTGCGGTACTTGTCCGCATCCGCCTTATGCCCGTCCGGAAGCAGGTCCGCAACCTCCATGTAGAACCACGCGTCTGTACCTTTCTCCCGGACAATACCTGCGGAGGCCAGAATGCGTATCATTCGTCTGCATTGTTTGATGTTCTCAACTGTATATGTATTCAACAGGTTCTGCTCGTTTTTCGTAAAGCCCAAGAGGCAAGCCTCTTCCGGATGTCGAATTCGATTGTAAGCTCAGAATGTTGGAGCACTTCGTTGGCCCTCTCCTGATTATGCTCAATTGTTAGCCCCCAAAGCTCGGCCTTTCGTGCAGCGCGCTTTATGAGAGTTTCTCAACAACCAAAGGCACCTTTTGGAAGCAACACAACAACGTGCTTAGCCAGCTGGACCAGGAACCATGACGTCACGACCCTGCTGACGTCACCCCCCACCTTGCACGTGCGCGATCGTCTCCTCCGTCATCAGCGGCTCGCCCGACTCCTTGTCGTAGAACACGGGGATCGGCACGCCCCAGTTGCGTTGCCGCGAGATGCACCAATCGGATCGCCCCACCGTCATGGCCGTGATTCGGTTCTGCCCGACTTGGGGAATCCACTCAACAGTAGAGATGGCATCGAGAGCTGCTTGTTTGAAACCGGTTACAGAGGCAAACCTGCACGGAGGAAGCGCAGGCTTAAGCTTTTGACAATCTCAGTCGCAAAGGGTGTTTTGCCCGACCTGCGGAGATTTGTTGACGGCGGCAATGGCATCGAGCACGCTTGCTTGACTCCGGTCACCGAAGCAAACCTGCGCGGGAGAATATCAGTGCCGAGCTTTTGACGCGACTTTGAGTCCACTAGTCGACGATTACAGTCTGCAATCATGCCGTTCTGCCCGACCTGGGGAATCCACTCTCAGTGGAGATGGCGTCGAGAGCTGCTTGTTTGAATCCGGTAACAGAGGCGAACCTGCACGGAGGGAAAGCAACCTTGGTATTTCAACGGCCTTCAAAAAGGACACGTTTATGTAATGTGGGGTTGTGGTTCTGCCCGACTTGGGGGATCCATTCAACTGTAGAGATGGCGTCGAGAGCTGCTTGCTTGAACCCGGTGACAGAGGCAAACCTGCACAGAAGGATGCGTAATGTCCAGAAATTGACAACTAAAGGTAGGTCACATGGATTGGCGTGATACGGTCCTGCCCCACCTCGGGAATCCAATCGACGGTAGAGCTGACGTTGAGGGCTGCTTGTGAACCCACTCACCGAAGCAAGCCTGCCCGGACGAAAACCAAACCCAGGAATCTGACAACTTTCAAAAGGGTCAGAAGATTCGAACTACAATTGCGTGATTTTACCCAACTCTCAAAACCAATCAACCATGGAGAAGGCATCGACTGCTGCTTGCTTGAACCTACTATTAGAGGCCTACCCGTACAGGTGGTACCAGGTATCAGGAAAAGGCAAAACTGCTTTGAAATAGGTTCACTTTGCATGCTTCGTCGATGATCTCACGCCAAGACTACCCGAACAAGATAACCTCTTTCTCTCAGGGCGCCAGCGCTCCCTTCCCGTGTCATCCGCGCCTTATTCTCACCACTGCTCGGTCGCCCTGAAGATCGTCGGCTTCTTGGTCCGCCAGTCGTAGGGGTACTTGTGTGAATACGCCTCCTCCAGCAGTAGCGCCTGCGCCTCGTCGAGCGCCGAAACGATCGCCGTGTTTCCGTCGCCCAAAACGTTGAGCCCCTGGAACTTTCCGGCCTCCTCGGTGAAATCACCCCGGTCGTTCACAGGCGACAGCAGGGGGAGGTCGTACTTGAGGCCCGTGACGTAGTCCTGACGTCAGCAGGGAGAAAAGTCAGGCTTGAGTGGCAGGGGTTTTTGGAGAAACGGGTAGAGAAGACTCAAAACATGAATACCTGAAAACATGAGAACGAAAATACGGTACATCAAGTCGTGCTAGATAAGATTAGGACAGAGAACCGGAACAGGGAGTAAACAAGACATAACCAAAGTTACAAGCGGCAACCAAACCCAGACTTGATTTTGAGATCGAAGATAAAGCGTGGGTTGTGTTCGCTGTGCTCCATTCACGCTCACCTCTTGCCCGTGTCCTGGAGCGGTGTGAACAAGCCCCGTCCCCGACTCGGTCGTGATGTAGTCGCCTCCGATAACCACCGGGCTCTCGCGCTCGAACAGCGGGTGCCGATAAGCGCTCCCCTCTAGTTGCGCGCCCTTCACCTCGCCTTTTACGGTAAGTTTCACGCCCCATTTTGACTCGAGGGTGGGAACGAGGTCCTTAGCAACCACTAGGTGTTTTGAGCTGCAGACAGGGGATGTTCACTTTCTTAGGAAGATTTTCCTCATCTGGGGTCGACCTGGAAAGCTGACGTTCTTTGTTCCCCATCACTGTGTTACATACATTGGCTTCTCAGCTCGCCCTTCCGACCCCCCCCACGGATCTGAAAGGGGGAACAAGGTTCTTCACAAGCACGAAGATTGAAAAAGCTGCAGAAGATAAGTTTTGTTTGCCCTTTTGCGTGTCTGCTCCGGTACATGCTCCGCTGCTTCGGTGGCTATACGATAACCGTTGGCTACGCGGCTATGCTGTCCACTCAAAAGCCTCAGACTCACAAATCAACTCAAAGATTTTAACAGAGGTTCTTAATCTGCGTTGCGCTCACGGCCTATTTTGAAAATCTCCTGTCAACTTTAAGGCGATCCGAATCGATCCAGATTCGACAGCACTTGCTCTCGTACTTGGCTGCTCTCAATTCAGCGTCCTGGCAGATAACTTCCCAAGAACACAACGATTGCTCATTACCAGAGAACAGCACTTACCTTTGTAGAGCACTGCCTGGGGAAGACTTTGGCGGTGCGCTGCCCTTTTTCTTCTTCTGTTCCGGCTCGTCTGCTGGCGTGCCCTCCGACGCGCTTTCAGAGACGGTCTCCTCTGCAGGCTGCAGCTCTACTATGGCGTAGTCTAGTTCCCCATTCACGGCCACGGCTGCAGAAGAAGTAAGTGGTTGAACCGTTTATTCGGCGCCGTTTGAACTCGCGAAGACCCCAAAATTTTGTGCGAAACGAGTACTGACTAAATGGCGAGCAAAGGTACGAAGCTTTGACTCCGCGGTGCAGCGCATGGTCTTTGAGCGACATCCTCTAACCCTCGCAAATAGCAAGATCCCGAGTTAAAATCCGGAGAAGAGAAGTCGAAGGCGATGACAGGATCACTTGGGCACCAACTTTTAACACCCAATATCCGAAAGGCCCCGTAAAAGCAAAGCTTTCACAGCCCACCTGCGTTTCCGGGCATGGTCCAGGGCGTGGTGGTCCAGATCGCGAGTGACACTTCGCCCTGCAGGGCCTTCAGCTCCTTTGGGAACTTGTCGCTAAATGACGTCAGCGGGAAGGCCACGTAGATACTCTTGGACACGTGGCCCTCGGGGTACTGCACAGCGAGACGATGAGCTCAGGCTCGTTCTTCGGTCGTAATACTCCGTCTAGCTTTTCGTTCCGGGTTGCCCTCCATCTTTTGAGGTACTGGAGCGGAGCGGTTCTGATGAGGCGCGACCCCTGGCTAACGAAACGAACGACCATAGGCGAAAGCTTCGCTAAACGCCAAAACTTTTTTCAAACAACTTGATCTCTGAAAATCTCCCTTTGCCGGGCTTGAGATAGGGCACACAAAGAGCAGTGGTCGATCGGACGCGCGACACGTGCTGAGTCCACAATCGGACGCCTCACCTCTAGTTCCGCCTCTGCCAGCGCCGTCTGTGAGCTGGGGCTCCAGTGCACCGGCTTCTTCCCCCGGTAGATGTGGCCGTTTAACACCATCTTCCCAAACACGCCTATTTGGGCAGCCTCGTACTCGGGCTTCAGTGTCAAGTACGGGTGGTCCCAGTCGCCCCAAATTCCGTAGCGCTGCGAGGAAGGTCGGAAGACAGCATCTCAAAAAACGACACCGGTCGGGCGAACGTTAGAGCAACGATAAAATTGCCAAGGGACGCAAAGTTGCAAGCTCGAATGCACTGGCTCGACAAGCCAGAGCGGGGCTTGTGTTTGGCGTGCAAAAAGAGTTAGTATAAGCAGTCAACCACTTTATTGACGGCATTGCCCTGTGAAAAACGTTTTTTTGTCGGAAACGTCCGCACTTGTGCAACGGCCTGCGCTTCTAAAAACAATTTGTTAGGAATCTGAGGTTTTTAAAACCGACTTTGTCACTGACGCCGTGGCTGAGACAACGTTCCGGACCGATTTTCACCCCGCTCAAATGCATCGACGGCGCTTTTCGACCAAGCTCCCGCTTCAAGAAGACTCGAGAAGCCAAAACAATCTCGGTCATTTTTTCTCAGCCAGATAAAATATAGCTACAGCTAACTTCGCCTAACTTTTGAGCTTCCCTTCCGATCCAAAACCAGCAGGCCGCTCGAATAGCGCTCCAACATCAACTGAGCGCACAACAGAGGCATTTGATCGCCCCAATTTGGTCCCGGGCGCCCACCTTGAATTGTTCCCGCTGTGCGTCCACCGTCTTGACCGCAAACTGCGCCGCCTTCTTGCGCAGCTTGATGGGCGTCAGCTCCTTGCGCTGGTCGGCGGTCATCGACTGCAACACTGCACCGCGCACGGGCATGTGATTAGTGAAAACCCTGTTTTCTGATCATTTCTTCAATTCGTTTGAAATTCTTTTCTTTTCCTTTTTAAGGGAAAGTTAAGATGAGGTAACCTTCTCGGAGTGGATGGACCTGGTTTGGGGCTTTCAAGTGGAAACTTAACGCGTGAGCATGTCAGCTTTAGATCTGTCGATCCAGCTGTTAGCCTATCTGGCTTACTTGATGGTAACTTGACACTTAATCAAAGGCAAAGACCACGGAATGAGGGAACCTACACCGCCATCGGGCATGATAAGTGATCGCAGGTTCGAGGAAGTTGAACGAAAAGCTTAGGAAATCAGAAGAGATGAGGGCAAAAGTGAGCACGAACACGTGTGAGCGGACGTCAACACAATCGAACCGCACAGATGTTTGGAGAATACTTGACGTGCCAGTTCCTCACATACCAGCACTGTCATCGGTTGACATAGATCACAGCAGGTCAATCCGCTCCCTTTCGATTCCTGTCTCCTCGGGTAAGTCGACACTCTTTGCACATCCGAACGAGAAGAGAAAGCGCAGCGTAGAGGCGAAGCTAAACAAAGACAATCTTCACAGTCTGATTCCTTTTATTCTCATGTGGCCAATTTCAAGATGCAAAGCACTGGACCAAGAACGTACAAAGGCAGCGGCCTACCTTTCAGCTCGATTGGGAGGCCGTGGCAATCCCATCCCGGGACGAACTTCACTTTGCGCCCTTGCAAGATCTGCAGAGAGAAGGTGCGCTGGACTCAGAGTCAAGCACTCTCGTCTGCTTGACTCCGAATGCAAATGTGCAGCCGCTTCTCAATAGCATATGCAGCAAGCCCAGGAGCTGAGAATGGCTACAAACCAGAAAAACTCTCTTCCGAACTCGTCAGCCAAGCGGTCGCTAAGATCAATCTCTCAGCGGACCCGATGAGGGGAGTCCTGACACCGGCAAATGTTGCAAACGCTGCTGACCAACGTTTGCTTTCATAGACTCGACACTTCGAAACTGAGTGTGCAAAGGAGCTCCATGATGGTGATTCGAGTAACGACGGCTTCTTCTCGGGCGAGTCCCTTGGCAAAGCTCAAGACATACGAACGATCTCGACTCTACAAACTTCTACATCATTACATCCCTGCAAATCAGCGAACCCAACTTCGGGTTTCATAGAGGTTGCAAAGGTACAAGTCCCCCATCGTAGGTTCGTTTTCGTTGGAAATAGTGTTCTCTTACATGATACCGGTTGATGATATCCTTCAAAATCTTGTTCAGCGCATGTCCAATGTGGAGGTCCCCGTTCGCATACGGGGGGCCGTCGTGCAGCACAAACGGCTCCCCCCCGCTGCGCTCAAATAGGCGCTCCTCCACTTTCTTTTCTTCCCACAGCTTTTGGATCTGCGGCTCTCGAACCACGCTGTTGGCGCGCATGTCGAACTTGGTCGCCGGAAGGTTCACCGAGTCCTTGTACTTGCCCTCGCCGACATCGCCTGTGATGTTAAAAGGCACCCTGCTAGTTACTAGAAATCTACAATACTGGACTGGGTCTCCTTTAGAAGAAAGGGAGTGGTTGAGCTTGACAAAACGTCATTCATTGTGGGCAATGAGTTCACGGGTGACCAGAAAGAAAAGGCTTGGACAGGCAAGACATCAAAGTTTGCTGATCAACGACTGAAATGAGAGGTCGTTTGCGAAGTTCTGCACTATTCTGAGGAGATATAAGCGCCTGATTAGGACCACAAAAGTCCTTGTCTGGACCAAGATAACCAGGTAAGTTCAAAAGGAGCAGCCAGATAATAGTTGAGAGTACTCACAAGTGAGTGGCAAAGCAACAAGTACATGGCTCTCTATCACACATTGCTCTCAGAAACACAAAGCAACAGTCAGCCCTCGCAACCAGAGCACATTGATGACATACTTCACTCCCCTGCCGCGAAGTACGACCTAGTCATGGTGGTGGCAGGCTAACAAATTCCGATCATTCCTCCCGACTTGCAGTGGACCGTCAGCCAGAGCATCGCACCAGTCAATAATGTTTAAGTGAACCTCACCCTTTCCGTTCTTGGCAGCAGCCTCGACATTCTGCCGCCGGTGGTGGCCCCTCTTTGGCTTCTCGTTTTCAAACGGGGTTAGGCTTAACCCTCCCGTCATTGCCCTTGACCAGCTCAAGTTAGCGGCTGACCGAGCCGCACAGTTGCGCAACTGGGCGCAGCTGGCAGAGAGCGCGAACCGGCCACTCATTTTCAGAGGCGCCGAAGCCTGTGGAAACCAAGAGGCTGCTTAGGCCCCAGGAGCAGGGAAACCCAAAGGTTCTAAAAGTGAAGCATAAAATCGTTCCGCAACTCGTTTCGCAACTCGTTTGTGGAGGCACCGCAGTTTCGAGAAACGGAGCGGCTCAGGGGCAGCTGAAAAGCCAGAACTTCCCAAAGTCGAGCATGATATCAGTCATTGGTGTGCTTGTGGTGGTAAAGGGCCGGGGACAGGAACGAGAGCTTCCGGTCAAAGTGTATGGCAGAAACGTCAAGACAGCTCCTTCGAACACATCCAGCTTTTTAAGTGTTAGTTTGCCCAACATTGAAACCCTGCCAGCGATTCTGCAAAGCGGGCGGTGCATTTGTTCATTGTCTACCGGCAACCCCAATACTTTCTCGATGAGGCAGTGGTCAAGCATCAGCCGCACTGCAATAAGAGCAGGTTCCTAGCTTAACTGAAGTGAGTCAATAAAATGGAAATCATCAAGCATTTCTGTTACTAACGGTGCTTCAGCACCGTGCGATAAACCCATGTTGTGGGCAGAGATCCAAGACGCACCTGGACAGGGCAGGCAGTTCCAAGCGAAAACTGCGCCCTTGCTCTTGCAGCGCCCTTTGCAGCAACAGCGCAGGGAATCGCAGCGCGACAGGTGGCAGCGGACATGCTCCGGACAGCCGCCATGCTGACTGTACACGTTCCTTGCTAACTTGTCGCTGGCCCTTTCAAGCTGTCCTTTACTGCATTACCCTAGCCCTGCTCGTTCATGGTGCCATTGTCCAAAATGTTGGTGGTGAGCGCTCTCAACAACGAACAATGCTGATCCAATGAGCACAATGCGCCCCTACTGACAGTGAATGGGCCGGAAATTGGCCCTAGCTGACACTGACGCAAGTAGTAGTCAGTGAACGTCGTCGCGTGGCTGCTCAACACCCACAGGATGCGCAGATTGTTCAGCTAGCCTTCGCGCCGCAACGAAGGTACTCTTTCTGGACCAGGCGGTTGCCAGCTTCTTTCCGCGCGCTGAAGCGTGTCCGTTTCACAAGAATGCGGCACTTGGTTGCGCCAGCTTCACGTCTCGAGTCCTCATGCAAGCTCTGGACAACTCATGAGTCATGGAAGACCTCGTTCTTGTGCCTTGGGCTTGAGCGGCTCCGCACCACAGTCATTGTCTCCAGGGCACTTGAGCTAGCTTTTCCAAATTCTCCAGGTGGTATCTGTTTCATGGCGCCCTTTTAAACCTGGTCCCATGTGAGGAGTTGCTCGGTCCAGCGCTGCGATGGCCCTTGTGAGCTCTTGTCGGCGGGGCGCCCTCCATCAGCGGCCGTCCCTGCAATGCTTCCTTGCTAGAAACCATGCAATCGGCAGTTGCTTTTTGGGGGGTGGCAGCAGGGGAGAACATCAAGACGCAAAGGATAAGGACAGGCACTCGGGGCCGGGATCAAGAGCAGAAGAAGGGTCGGCGGTTTCAAAGGAGGCGGGTGGTCGCACGTGGATGCGTCCGTTTGCGAATGTGTTGAGCCCGGTGGATAGACAGCTGGACTACTTTAGGCCAGCGTATGGGCAGACTAAAGCGACCACAGTCACTGGCGAAGGTGGGGAAAAGGGAAAGCTGGTTAGATTTGAGGAGGGGGGAAGTGAACGGGGGACTCTGGGGGGAGATGAAGGGGCCCACGCGAGCACGTCGTTTGGAGAAGGTCTGGGAGCTCGACCGTCGAGGAAAGCGTCTGGTAAAACATGGTCCGAGGGGCTGGTAGAGTCAGAAGCCACAGCAAATAGTGGAACGAGAGGGGCCCGTCAAAAATCTAGCGAGAGTGATGCTGGCCCTACCGGAGGAAACAACTTCAGGAGTCCGCGGGCGAGTCTGAAAGGGGCGGGCAACACCGTTGGTAACGGTTTTGCTGCAAGTGGTGTGACCAAGGGCCAGCGCCTGCCGGCCGGGGTGCGGAAGGTTTTGGAAGAGGCGAGCCGGGAACTAGAGCCGGCGGCTTCGAAGAAGTCAGCTGGGAGGCGCAGTGGCAAATCTGCGAAGGGTGTGACGCAGGCGCTGGGAGATGAGGGGAAGGAGCTGAAGTCTGCGCTCGCCAGAAAGAAAGGGTCAGAAGGGGGTCAGGCAAAGGGGGTTAGTGGGGAACCTGCGCAGGGGGTACGTACGAAAGGGGGCCGGGGGGGTAGTACAGAGGTAGTCCAAGGGGTTAGAGAGAAACCATATCTGGGGGTAAGTTTGGAACCAGAGCAAGGGGCAAAGCCAGGGCAGGGGGTAAATGGAGTATCGAGCGGGGGGGTGAGTGGGATAGTAGATGGAGAGGCGGTTGCTGAAGCAGCTCCAGGGGTTACTGCGGAGCCAGCGAAAGAGCCCACGGGCAGAAGTCGGAAGGAAAAGAAGAAGGGGTTGGACGGGAGCAGTTCAAAGATAGTGATGGACATGATTCGTGAGGCAGATGCGAACTTTAAAGCTAAAAGGGCGAAGAAAAAGGGGTCGGAAAAGGTGGGCGCTAGTGAGGCAGCGGAGGCTTCGAAGGAAGAAGCGGCCGCCGTGTCTGAGCCTGCGAAGAAGAAACGAAAGCTGCCGCCGAAGGAGACGCCATCCGCCGAACCCGATGCAAACCTGAAGAAGGGGCAAAAGAAGGGGCGGTCGTTCTCGTCGGACGCAACTTCCGGGTCGCGCGCGGAAGTTTTGGAAAGCTTCCGAGAGTCCTCTGAGTCTGAGGAAGAGTCAGAAGCTACGGCTGTCGTGTCAGAGGATGGGTTGATCAGGGTGGCGGGCGGGAGGGCGCCAGAGACATTGAGGGACGAGAGAAAGAGGAAACGGGGCCGAAAAGATGCTTCGAAAAGAGAGGAGAAGGAGAAGAAGCTGCCTCCATTGCCGGACTCGAGGGCGCTCTATTCAGAGATGCTGGAAAAAGAGAAGGACGAGACGCCACAGCCGCTACTGATGCCCGGGAAGGATGGCGGCAAGGAGAACGCGCAGGCGATTCTGACCCGGTTTATTGAGAGAGGGTGAGCGCTGGGCTCCATCGTGTTGGACAGCTGATTTGTCGGGTGCTGGTCACATGGCCACTCGCTCTTGCAGTATTTTTCTCTTCAGAAAGTCCCGCGAAGCACGGAAGCACGAACGCACGATTGATCTCAGTCACTGGCTGCGATTTATTGAGACAGACTTTTTGTGTCAAATATCTGATCATGAAGTCTAAAATCTAGAGAACTTATCCACGTGGGCTTCCGACCAGACCCTGGCACCATCCATATCAACCAAGTTCGTTCACTGGCTGCGGTTCACACGAAATCTCCAGTCCCTTTTCGAGTTCTCAAATTTTGAGAACTTACAGTTTTGCAACGCGTGTTCCGACCAGGCCCTTGTGCTGTACGTGAACCACGAGCTGTTGCTCGTTGTTGCAGATTGCTTTTGTAAGCTCCCTTTGACGAAAGCACGGACGAGCTTAGTCACCGGCTACAGTTCACTTAAAGCCCGAACGCTCCCGATTTTCGAATGTACATGCAAAGTTCTAACAATCCATAATACGCTTCAGGTGGGCTTCCGACCAGGCCCTCCCGTTGTACGTCAACCACGAGTCGTTTCCCGTCATTGCGAACCTCTTCCGCAAGCCCCCATCGAATAGGAAGTACGAGTTGTCTAAGTATCTGCAAAACTCCAACGAATCGTAATCCTCTTCAGGTGGGCTTCTGACCAGGCCCTCGCGCTGTACGTCAACCACGAGCTGTTCCCCGTCGTTGCGGACCGCTTCCGCAAGCTCGTGCTGCACGGCTGTACGGACGAGCTCGGACGCTGGCTCCGGACGGCTGCGCCGTCCAACGAGGCCGAGGAAGCTCTTTTCCCGCTGTTCGCGGAGCTGTGCCTGCAGGAATTTCGGGACGAGCTGCGGCAATTCAGGAAGCTCGTCGAAAGTGCAAATATGACGGAGCCGCAAAAGTGGTGAGCCAAAGTTTCTCGGTTTGGGTTTTGACCGTCGTTTCGTGCAGTGTTTTCTTTTGTTTGTGTGTTTGAACTTGAAACGAGTTGCGACAATTCAGGAAGCTTGTCGAAAGCGCCAACATGACGGAGCCCCAAAAGTGGTAAATTCATTTTTTCGCTTTTTCTCAAGGACTCTCTTTCGCTCTTTCTGAGTATTTTTTTCTCTGAGCATTTGTCTGTGTCGTCAGTTTCGGGGTCGGTTGCGGCAGTTTAGGAAGCTCGTCGAGAGCGCTAATATGACCGAGCCGCAAAAATGGTGAGGTCGAGTTTTTCAGCGGTTTCGAGTGACAGTCTCTGCGTTTGATTGGGTTTGGTGTGTGTCTCCAAAGACTGGAGCAATGATATCGGAGTGTTGGGGTGCTGCTTCGCAGAATCCATCTCGTGTTTCTATTTGTGGTACTTTTGACAGGGGAACATAGGGTCGCTCCAACTACAATCACGGACAAGTTGAGGACTCTTACCTTATTGGCGTCCACAGTGACACTTCAGATCTCGTCTTGCGCCTGGAACAGATTGTTTAGTTTTCAAGAGCCACGTCCGTCCGTTGCGGACCAGTCCAGGAGGAGAAGACTTTGCCTAGGTGAGAGCTTACGTCTCCTTCTTTCCATCTTGGGCCAGGTACCCGTATGCTCGCGCCATGAAGCGCAAGATCATCTACCACTGCGGGCCAACCAACAGCGGGAAGACGTACGAGGCGCTACAGCAGTTGAAGCAGGCGGAGAACGGCCTATACTGCGGGCCTCTGCGGCTGCTCGCAATGGAGGTGAGTACTGAAGCGGTCTGGTAGATTTTTTAAAGCTTCGACATTCCCCCAGGTTTGTCGTGAGGTCTGTAGCAGTATTTGTGACGTAGCCGATTGGTAGAGCTATTCGGAGTCCGCTCGAAGCGAGACTAGTTGAGCTTTCTATTTCGGTTTTGACGTTGGATAAGAAGTGAGCAGATCGGGCTTCTCGTTTTGCGACCGGCTACCTGTGCTAAGATGGACTTCACGTCGGGCGATCCTGTGACCTTTGGAACGTCTTGCTGATCAAAAGAAGCTTGCACCCTGTTCCACAGATTTTCGACACTTTGAATGCGGACGGCGTGTATTGCAACCTGACGACGGGCCAGGAGCGGCGCACGGTGCCGTTTGCAAACCACACGTCGTGCACGGTCGAGATGGCGCACTTGGGGAACGAGTACGAGGTGGCTGTCATTGATGAGATCCAGGTAAGGAGACCTTTTTGGGTCGTAAAAGTAGCGAAGGGCTAACGGAGATTGGAAAGTCTGGACGGAGTACTGTCTGACGCTGGGAATCGCGCATTTGGGAAACGGGTATGAGGTAGCCGTCATGATAAGGTAAAAATTTGATAAAGGGTGGCGGGGCGAAATAGGACTGAAGGATGTTATCAAAACTTCTCGGCTGACTATCTACTGAGCGGTCGCCATCAACAGGAAGGGGAGTCTTGAGGATGATAGGGTATTATCTTTGACGCGAGGAAGAAGTGTTCCGAGTCCCACGGTTTCGAAGCCGACCGACCTTTCAAGCCTTCTTTGACTGAGGATGCTGTCTCGTGTCGTCGCAGAACAAGCATCGACACAAAATCATTCGAAGTTAAACCTTTAAGCAAGCCCTCTAAACCCTTGACCTCTCTAGCCTCCCTTTCTAACCCGGCAGATGATGGCGGACGACCACCGGGGCTGGGCCTGGACGCGCGCTCTCCTCGGGCTGCAAGCGAAAGAGTTTCGAATTTGCGGCTGCGACCTCTATTATCGTTCCGGCAAGAACTCTTTTTCGCGCCGAAAGGGGAGAATTCCAGGGTTTTCATCGGAAGCCCCGAACTTGATAAACCTCTCGTTTCTTAATCAACATTACAAGAAAAAGAAGTTGACATTTCCTCCTTTGTTTTATCTGCAGATGATGGCAGACGACCACCGCGGGTGGGCGTGGACCCGCGCGCTGCTCGGGCTGCAAGCGAAGGAGATCCACGTGTGCGGCGACGGCAGCGTGCTGCGCATGCTGAAGCGCATCGCGAAGACGTGCGGCGACGAACTAGAGGTGCGGAACTACGAGCGGTGGAAGCCGCTGAGCGTGGAAGAGGCGTCCTTCGGGGGAAGCTGGGAGCACGTGGGCGAGGGGGACTGCGTCGTGGCGTTCTCGCGCAAGGAGATCTTCCAGATCAAGGTGGGCCTCAGATGGGTTTCTTGTTTCTTTGGAGTTGGGGGTTGGGTCGGCAGATCTTGACAATGAGATGTGCTGTGTGTCTGTCCTGAAAAGGAGGTTTCCGGAATGCAGGTCTGGGAAAGCTTGTGCTAAGGAGCAGGGATGAATAGGGGGGCATTTGCAGATGGTGCAGTGGGCTGGTGGTCAGGAAAGGAGATTATCGGGTTAGCCAATACCAGTCAGTGAGTCAGCAGCGGACATTTGCATCAGCTCGTCTAAGGACTAGTTGCTCACCTGTTTGTCAGATGGGTCACAGATTTGATCGGGAACTGCCGCAGTTGAGCGGCGACTTTGTGGCTTCCCGTCTTAAAACGGACGGCTTCGCTCCATCTATCCAGGTCCGTTAGCAAACGGTAGTTGTGACTCTGCCGGAATGTTACAAAGGGTGATCAGAAAAACCACGGTTCTTTTTTGCCCTGCGTAAACGGTACATACAAATAGGGTGGACCATTGGAGCATCTCAAGTGTGTTCATGCGGAAAGCGGACAAGAAAACTGTTCAAAGTGCTCGGATGACCTTCAAACAACGGACCCTGGAGCTGACGTAAACCTTCGTCCTTCTCCAGGGCGAGATCGAAGAGCGGGGAAAGCGAAGCGGAGTTTTACCAACTCTCCTCAAAATCTGTAAGAAACTTTCAAAAACCGATATAGTGAACTTCGTCCTTCTCAATCTACGTCCTTCTCCAGGCTGAGATCGAGGAGCGGGTGAAGCGAAGCGAATTTCACTAACTTTTGCCAATGACCAGTGAAGTTTTCTTAACAAACGGACATGGAACTTCGTCGTTCTCCAGGACGAAATCGAGGCGCGGGGAAAGCACAAGTGCTGTGTCATCTACGGCGCTCTGCCCCCCGAGACGCGTCGGCAGCAGGCGCGGCTTTTCAACGACCCGGACTCTGGTTACAACGTTTTGGTTGCGAGCGACGCCATTGGGATGGGGCTGAATCTAAACATTCGGCGAATGGTGTTTGCCAAGATGGAGAAGTTCTCCGGAGGGGCCGGCAAGGATCCCATTCCCACACCGATGGTGAGTGCCAATGTGTGTCTGGGGGTTGTGGCTCGTTTTAAACCTGGTTTTCAGATATCTTGCTTGATTCTGCTTGAATTCAGTGCCGACGTCAGGGGAACTTTCGTTGCTTTTCATCTCATGTGAATTTTCTTGCCACGTCTGCCACGTCAGCAGGCTGACAGAAAATGAGGAAGTGTGGACGTTTCAGGAGAGCCGTGGCGCCATCCGGAAGCCTTCTTGCCCGGTTAAAGGCAGCCTGAAACAACGTTTCGCTTCTCATTTCCTCGTTGATTTGTGATAATTTGTGCACACTAGCTGCTTAAAGATATGCACGTCGGTCCCTTCCCCTCAGAGCTTCAAAAGGTTCCTGTTGCATACAGTCCCTTATTATGTAGTCTTGCTCTTTGTCAGTGAACCGATAACTGCTTCCGGCAAGTCGAGCAGACCGCGCAACGATAGGATTGGAACCAATCTTTCACTGGCCGATCATACATCTGAAATGACACGCTTTCCAACGACTGACCGACGACCCGTTTCTACTCCGCAGGTCAAGCAGATTGCGGGCCGCGCCGGACGTAGAAACAGCTCCCATCCAGAGGGCCTGGCCACTACGTTCCTCCCAGAAGACCTGCCTAAGCTGCGGGAAGCAATGGCCGCTCCGATGGACACCGCAGAAAAGGGCGGGCTGTTCCCCATATTTGAGCAGATGGAGCTGTTCGCCGGACAGCTGCCGGACATGCGCTTCCCGGAACTATTAGACAAGTGAGGCTTGCATCCGTACCTCTCAGGAATTTGATTCCTAATCAGCTTTTCATATGTCCCTTTGTGTCGTACTGCCTTGAGAGACTCGAGGGTTTTGCGACGACCAACATGAAAGAAGGCGATGGACCAAAGGACTGGGCGATCGGTTGCATTCGTCATTGGAGGCCGCTTTTGAGCCAACCGGTCAATGTTTGCAGTTGTCTGCTGTCCTTGCCTAGGTTCACAACCTTGGGGAATGCGACTCGTTTGCCTCAGAACTCATAGGGTTCCCCTGATGATTGCAGATTCGCGGAGACTTCCCTGTTGGACAGCAGCTACTTCCTGTGTAAACACGACCAGATCCGGGTAAGCTCTCCATCTCGTGCACGACCCGAGTCACGTTGTCGAATCTTCTCGACACTGCCTTGTTTCCTGCAAAAGATATCTCAATCCTTGCCTTCAAGAAAGGGCGACAGCATAAGATTTGGGCGCTGCGGCCCATGAGATGCGCTTCGGAAGTTCTCCGCAAGGACCACGTCTTGCTGGTGCTATAGTCCCTTCTATCAGCGGTCCTCGCGTGGATCATAAACTGGTTCCGAGGAAAGCATTTCAGGAAGTACGCTTTGAACAAAGCTTGAACCACCCCCTTCTTGAGAACACAATCCTCCCTTTCTGCAGTGACTCACACCAAAGCTAAGCCCGTTCCCAGCAAATCTGTCCAAAAGTCACCCACGGTCATGTTGCTTGAGATGGTTTCTCCCCGATGGCCGACCGTCGAACCTACTTCGCACAGTGCCACGGATTTTCCTGAAAACCTAAACCCCACCCCTCTTTTGTAGCGACTCCTAACATGCGACGCTTTCCCCTGCAGACAATTGCGAATCTGCTCGAGAAGGTCCCCACGCTCAGGCTGCGAGACCGCTTCAGTCTGTGTCAAGCGCCCATCAACTCGCGCTCGCTAGAGGCGATGGGCACGCTGCTCGGCTATGCGAAAGCATACGCGGAGGGGACTCCGGTTCCGCTCAAGGTCAACTTCCGGGACGCAGCCGAGATAGCGGAACTAGAGTGGAAACACCAGGTAGGGCCCTGGTTGTCAGGCTCTGGTTGTCTAGAACTAATACCCAATCCCTTGAGTACGGATTGGTTTCCGAAAGCTTCTTTTATCTACGAGTCACCCGACTGGTTAGCGTCCCTGGTTACTCATGAGGGTTACATCCTTCGAACGTTTGGGACACAGACCGGTACATGGTAGAGGCTTGTAGCAGGTTTTCCAATGTCTGTGTCTCGTTGCAAATCCGAAAAGCAAGCGTAAAAGCAAGCGTACAAGTTTTTGCCCCCACGTACCTCAGAAACGAGACGAACTTCTGTCTGCAGCGTCTGGAATTACGACCCTCGTAATTAATGCTCCCCAATTGAGGTTGTGTGCACGCATTCTTTCCAAAGTCCTTACTCTGGGGTTTCTGCCGGAGTTTCTGGTCAAGCTGGCAACGACATTGACGCTGGTCCACCAAATGAAGCGCTTGCCACGAGGTCCATGCCGTGCTTTTGTTATGGACGCCCTTCTGACATCACCCCCGTCCGACTGTCCGCAGGTCGTGTCCGCATACTTGTGGCTCAGCTACCAACTAGAGGAGACGCAGTTCCCCCACCGGGCGAGAGCTGAGCAGTTGCTAACGAGCATGGTCGCGCTCTTGGACCAACGATTAGCCGGGAGCATACGGAAACCGGCCCGGGGAAAGTTTGCGTTTCCGCCCAAGCGGCGGCCGCTCGGGATATTTGTTGGCGATGCCTTGTTTGAGAGGCAGAAGTTGAGAGACGGGGAAGAAGAGTCCGACCGCCCTAGGCTTGCGGCGGTTCACTAGGGTACCATTATTCTTAGGCTGCGTCAAAGTGATGAGAGTCAAAATGGATCTTGCATACAAGAACGTGCAAGCGAAGCAAGGCACGGTTGGGCTGAATGTGGCTAGTACCTAGGTAGTCATATATTGTTTGTATACATCGGCGGGACAAGGGCCCAGCATAAGAGTCCACCGGATCATGTGCCTATATGCTCTTGGGGGACTGCCAGCAAAGCCTCGGGTGCGGTGAGTGGAGAATGATTAGGAGGTGTATTGCTACGGAAGCTGCCGCTGTGGTGCGGCGGCACGATCGTACATAGGTGAATTCCTTCTATGCTGCGAGGTGTTCAAGACATCGCTACGAGAAGCATATATTTGGTGGCAGCGGCTGACTGCCGTAGTTTACAAGAGCTCCGACCTCTACGTTCCGATGCATGGTCGTTGCCAATCTGTTTAATTGGATCACGTACACGTGACATGTGTGACATCGAGACACCGCTCACCATGACGGTTGCGTTATGTTGTCGACTCGTACATGTCACTGCATTGGCCAACAATTCTAGGGTCGTGTGTTTGTTCAGACGCACGATGTGGTGGCGACGGTACTGTCTGGGTGCATGCACGATGTCGTTGCACACATTTGAAGTAGGCCGCGCTTTAGTAGGTCATCTGCAAGGCGGCCAGAGGCTCCCAGAGCTAACTTCCTCGGTGCACGCAATTTTCGAAATTTTCGAAATTCGAAATATTCGAACATGCTGCTCGGATTCGATGTTAGACAGCAGGTAGACTCCGAGTCCGAGAGAGCATTGCATGGCTGGCACAAGAACCCGCGTTGGGTTCGCAAACGGAACGGACGGAATTGTCGCAGACAAGGTCGGAAGGGAACGGAAAGAGGACGCCTCGGCCATCCAAAGCAGCTGCATGCACAGAGAGAGATTGCAGTTTACAACTTGTTGGGAGTTCCGGATACAATGGGGTCGCCTTCGCCCCATCCTTCTAACGAAGCAGCAGATGTTACTGCTCCTCCCGCCCTGAACGCCTGCAGCGATGATGTGCTGGACAGCATTCTGGCCCGGATTCTGCAAAGTGTGGACGGAAGCGATGCCGGGGGGAGCGTGAGGTGGCGCTTCCTGGCTGAGCCAGTGAGGAGAGCCCTAAGGCAATTGGACAGAAGGAAGAAGCTGGAGATGCTCTTCACTCTAGACGCACTCTGGCAGGACTTGCTGACTGCATTGCCACAAGAAGTCCAAGCGCTGGCAGACTGCGGGTTTTTCAGAATGCTGTGCCTGAACCTGCATGACGCCAACCCTGTGGCATTTGCATGCGTTGTTGAAGGCCTGAGCCACTGCATCAGGATTCTTCCAGAGCTAGTTTTGAAGGCGTGGGAGTATGGGGCGGTCAGGCCAATAGCTGCCTTTATTTTAGACCACAAGGCGCTGGCCGAAACACAGACGCTCATTCTGGACTTACGGCTGCAGCACGCTCTCTACTTTTTGGCAAGCATGGGAGGCCCGCTGACAGCTCCAGGGTGCTCAGAGGAAGCACAGAAGACGAGCAAAAAGTGCTTCAACTGGTTCCTCAAGCAGGGCGTGATAAGCAGAGTGGCGGAGATCTGGGTGGCCCTTCCAAAGGCGGGTGTGGAACTAGAAAGAGATGGAAACTACATCGTCATAGTGTACAGAGCCGCAGTTACGCTGATGTTTGCATCCCACTTTGCACTTCTGGCGAAAGGCCTACTTTGCGATTGGGACAGGCTGGTAAGCTGACGTTGCCTCTGAATTCATTTCAGAGATTTGGAAATACAGCTTTTTGGGTGAACCCTGAGAAGTTGAGGTCTGGCGATGCATTTCTTGAGCTCCCTTGTAGGAGGCAAAGAATCCAGCATCTTTGGTCTGGCAACCATGATAGAATATCTGACTACACAAAGGATGCATTGAAGAGACAAGGCTGCGGCTTTATGTTTCTTCTTGTGCTGCATGGACGTTCAGGGCAAGGCTCCACAAGAAAACCTTCCGAAGTTCTGCGCCCTGCTGAGGATCTTGTTCCGTATTAACCAACATGGGAGAGTCTGAATCCAAGCGGGTGATGAAATGCAATGAGTATCGCAGTGTCGTCCTTGTGTGCTCTGTACTGATGTGCAGGGTTTGTTGGAGCTACGCTGCGTTCCCTTCAGACAGATTGTGACGAGCCTGTGGCCCCGGGGGTGAACGATTACCGTCACCTGATCGTGGGCGTGTGTACCTGCCTCCTACTCAGCAACTGGCTGCAAGTGTTAGTTCTCAATCTCCTGCCTGCATTTCTGATCGGTTTGCTTGACAAATTCAGAGCGCTTCTGAAGTAAGATCTAGAAGAGGCACAGGAACCTGATGATAGACGCTGGCATGTGAAGTTGAACGCGGGGGGAGCAATGTCTAATATGTGATTGGTCTGAACCAGATCACGTCTGAAGATGCTGTTTCTGATGTCATATGGTAGCTCTTTGGATTTCAAGTGTGGCCTGTTTAGTAGTGCAAGCGAGAAGACCTTATCGACTCTCTGCACTTATCAGCGATGTCCGCTAGGAAGTCCTTGAGTCGCTTGTAACCCCTTGGCAACCTACGATCGTAGTCGGCCATTCTGACTGCTGAGGCGAATCTCAAGTTGCATAGTTCGTTCCTTGGACAAATCTCTTCAGAGCTCATTTCTATGAGTGCACTCCGAAGTTTTGATGTCCTCTCTGATCGTCCGTGCCTACCAAGAAGCAGTGAAAGTCCTGGGATTTCATCTTCGCCTTAGAAATTTGTCACAATCTCAATTGTGGTCAATACTGTGAGGTCGATCTGCCCCGCTGGCGCACTTGACTCCCCAGCTTTCTTGTCTGATAAGAATTTGAAGGACTCAATTTCTTTGAAAGGAGAACCGAAGGCCTTACTTCACGTGCTTACATTCAAGCCGTAATTGGAGGCCCAACCATGATGTCCGGACATCCGAGGCCCAAGCCAAGGAAAGGAGCCTCTCTGAATGCTCTTTCCGTCCTTTCTGACGTCAGATGTCGCTTTGGCAGGTCGACCGGCCCCGAGCCTGAGGTCCAAGAGAGGGGAAAGAAGGAGATTGCTGAGCACCCAGACATTCTGACGGTCCTCCGGATTTTGCGGCGGCTGGTCGAGAGTCCAGACCCCCTGATCGCTCGGGTAAGCCCTTCTGGTTCCAGGTGACGGACAGAGAACGGTTTCCGATTCTGACCGAGTACGCGCTCTTTTCCGCAGTTCAGACTCAACAGTATACTTTCCCAGCAACATCCCTAGAAGATTGGCAGGCGCTGCATTGCAGTGCGTTATGGCAGACTGCTATTTGAGACTGGGGGACGCTGAACCTTGTCCGCTGTCTATCATCCAATCTGAAAGCCCCTTTCCCAACGACCCCGTCTTTGGATCATGAGGGGGCTTATGTCCGCTCTAATTCAGCAGCGCAAGATGTTGCAGTCTCCTCGAGCTAGGTCGAACGGAATCTTCGGCTTTGTCCAATGTTTTATGAATAGAGAAGTTGCTGTCTCGTGCGCGCGCCTAGCGAGCACCTTCGTTTCGTCGGAGTTTTTGAATTTGTGCACAGGGGTCTATGAAGCTACCTGACTACCGTATACATGTCCTCTGTAAAGAGAGGGCCATCTTTTGTATTCTTCTTGCTTATGTCTCCACATCGACGGAAACTTTTCAATACTTCACTCGCTTTCATAGATGTAGGAGCACGGGTTTGTCCGTTGACGTTCACATGTGAACTCGGCATGCATACCGAGTCAGGTTCGATTTCGTGAAGGCAAGGCCTTTCAATAGCTCAAGCTTTCAGAAGCCACATATTTGAGGGCTTGACTTTGCCGCATCTGCCTGATGTTTGCAGAACGGGAAGCTCAGCTTTGTCGCCCTCGTCCGCCTCCTCATGTGCGACCACCCGCGGCCGCTGCCCGACGGGTCTGTCGAGACGGCGTTCCGCTTCTTAGGAGATCCGTCTATCAAACACTGCTGGGGCAATTGGATGTTCGCGATGGCGCAGAGTTTTTGCGCGGGCACCCTCACGGCTGACTTTCTCGCCCACTTCTTCCCCGGCTTCCTGCACGGCTTCGCTGCTGAGGCTCACCGTCGAAAGCCGGCTCGTGTGTACGACCCGGATCTATAGTTCCTTGTCGGGATGGTCGTTTGTCTGCACGACTGTCTCTGGTTCGCCCAGTCCCCTGGCAAGCCTGTGAGAAAGGACAACCCACACACCGAGCAAGTTGCCATTCCCGCAAAGCTACTCCCCAGGCTGTTAGACTTGATGCTTGACACGGGTGCGGTAGCTGCAGTGGCATCCTTGACCGGGTCTGCGTGCTATCGCTCTGCAAACAAGGTGTGTTCGAACTTGGGTAGCGTAGCAGCGCGCAAGTCGCCGGCTGATTTGAGGCGCTTCAACGAGCAAATGATACCCGCGCTGGTACTCGTCATCTTGGAGGGCCATCAAGACGACGAAATTGTCCGCCTGTGTCGAATGGGCGTTCTTGCCTACTGTACGAGCGTGCTTGCCCCCGGCCTGCCCACGTTCCGGCTGGCAATAGCGCAGAACAGTCTGAGCAAAGAGCTTTTTGTGAGTTACGATTGGGGGAACAACGCTGCAAGGATTGCTGGTGCGAACACGCCGGGGACAAAGAAAGGGCTCCAGCACATGATACTTGACTTGCAACCAAGGCATCACTCTGTGGAGGTTCTTGACGTCATCAAGGACGAACTTCAGAGACTAGCATTGTACTACAAGCACTGCCAGGGCTCGTTCACCGGCAATCCACCTGGAGAAACTGCGCAAGACTTGCTTAAGGCGCAATATCCTGGAGAAAGGTGTAGTGTGTGCCAGGTGCTTCCAGGAAGTGTCAACCTCGTTGCTCGAGGTGTCGAGCGAGGAGTTACTGTAGTGTTGCTTGTCAAAAGAAGGACTGGCCGGAACATAAGAATGTTTGTAAGAAGAGAGTATCGGAAGGCTTCAACATTGGCGGTCTCCTAGAGATTGATCGCAATTCCTCGTATGAGAACGATCAATATCTGGTCACGGGTCGCCCACCGCGTCTGAGTCATATGACCCAAAACCGTCATTATCGAAACTGTCAAGCTCCTACCTTCAAGTTCGCATGCAGTCTTACAATGCAATTGTTTACAATTAAACCATGCATATTTAACAAGTTGTGAAGATACCGTACTTCCGGGCATCGTAATCAGTCGCAGGTTGACCAATCCGATCATGGAACAAAGACCCCTAGAGACAATTCTAGACTATCCTATGTTAAGTTGCATGCGTGTGTTGAAGTGACCCATTCAGTCATTGAACTTGGCAATATGCTATATTACTAGTTATACTGCAATTGTCCACATCAAGGACTATAAACAAAGGCTTGGCTGAAGTCCCGCTCGCTCAAACGGTCCATATGCTGATCATGATGGCATTTTCGTGCTTGCTAATATTCTCGAGTTGACCGGTTTTCATCAAGATACCTCGCTTGAGATCCCGGCTGGGCCACTATCCAGAACCTTGAAACCACAAAAGGACTGTCAATGCCGGCCAAACGCTTCAAGGACTCCAGTGGTTTCGGGCGGTCTAGCTAGTTTGAACTCATTGCCGGCTAAAGCGAGGGCCGGCGGCACATCAACTCTATTTTGTTTGAATCGATTAATCGTGTGGTGCGCTAAGCGCTTCCCTTGAGCTGTCCCGGGTTCCGTTGTTCCGTTCCCTAAATTCTAATTGCCTGCATGGTTTCTGCCCAGTTTCTACCGGTCACTTTCCGCCTGCTCATTTGCTGATCCCCCGACTTTGTCAGTTTATACTGCTTTTGCGACGGACTCGGATACTCCGGAGTCCGGAGTCCGGTTGTAATATTTTGCCGGGCTGCAATGTGCATATGAGCATGCAGGATGTTTGTACGGATGTCAGGCTGTTGACATCAGACCTGTACCGTGAGCACTGTGGCGGCTGAGGCCCCAGGTTGCGCAATTGCATGTGCACCGTTCATAAACATTGCCCGGAGCAGCGTCCGTTTGACGAACCGGCCATCATCCCAGGCAAATCGAACCCGGCCGACTCAACTGAGGGGCCGGCGTCCGATCCGGCCAAAAAGCCAGTGGTGTTCTCAAGGCGTTTGAAACCGGGTGACACAAGCCGACCGGTCCCACAGTCCAGCCGAACGACCGGTCACCGGAATAGTCGGCCTTAAGTATGCCTGCATGGCCGGGCCGGGGGCCGACGAGATCGAAACACCGTCACCGGCCCGGGATACGTACGCGTGCGGCGTGACGTCCCCTAGCGCGAAAAATGCGGCATCAAACTGGGAGGAGTGTTCGGAAGCCGCGGATGCAGGACAGTTGAAGGTGAGATCATGCAAAAGTCAACTTCTACCGTATAATTGTGTGATTTTGTCTGACCTCCGGGATCCCCTGTACGCCGTAGCTTTTGCAGAGGTGCTGCTACAAGTTTCCAGGTATCAATGCTCACACGAGAGAAGTGGAACTTGGAAGCTTTGATCCATGCTGCGGTGACTGGTTTAACATTGCACCAGTCATGTTAAACCAGGACGGGCAGCTCATTCGCTCATTTACGAATGTCGACAGCTAGCGAGTCACTCTGCAAAAGCAAAGGAAGGGGTCATTGGGCTTCAAACGAGAGAAGATCACCGCGATGGTCCAGGGGTCATAGCTTGTCATTCTCCTTCCTCTTGATTTGTCGTGCATGCGCATCGAGTCAGACTCTCGGCCCGCCCAGAGCTAGTGGCAGCTTGGTCTGTCGATCAATCATAAGCTGCCGGCTGAGCCAATCGGAGCAGGCCATCAAGGCCCAATGCAAGCTCAACTCAGCACAT